CCCCCCCCCTCCTTGAAAAAAGTCTCCTCCCATTGATTCCCTCATACCTAGTTTACTTGTTGGAGTTCTTCCTCCGGTACAGACATCACTTCAAATGACTCTTCAACGTATGTCGAAGAGTCCTTTGAAGAGTCATCAGAATCACTGGACTCTGCGCTTGTGTCTGACCATACTCTGGACTGTTTCAGTGAAGCTCAATTTAATTAATCATACTGTTTGTATTTACCATACTTAAATTTGAGATCTTTTGAATTCCAGAAGCTTCGTTGGAGAAACTGAAAATACTATTCAGGAATTCCTGTCTGATTGAGCTTTTTTTTGAAGCTCAATTTAATCATACTGTGTTTTATTTACCATACTTTAAATTTGTATTGCTATTAAAATTTCAACAGTTGGGTTTTTCATTCTGCTAAATTACATGTATGATGCCATGTGTGCTAACATCGGCATCTTTCTTTTTCATTGAATAACATTTTAGTGCTGCTTTTGCAACTTTAATTAAAGTTTCCGGTTTTACTAAATCTTAGTGCAAATAAAGTGGCACTGTTTTAACATATATAACAGAGGCATTCCTTTCCTACTGGATGACAGATAGGAAAACAACAGTTCATAGATCAGAACACCTTAAGAGTTGATAAATTTGTCAGTTTTATTCCAATGTTAGTATTTAACTCTAATAACTCTTCCACTACTTTTCCAGTTTGCAAAAAGGAATGAAAAAGTAATGCCCCCTCCCTTCTTGTTATCATTTTCTCCTATGTCCCCCTCTGATTTTCCACCCCCCCTCCCCACCCCCGTCAGGTAATTATTGCACAGTCCCTAATATATCATTTATTCACGGTATGGAATCAGCAGTGTTCTTTGTAGACATATTAAGCTAAACATCTTAAAAATATATGCCCAATGCACAGCAGCACTCATTTTTCAAAAATATTTTGCTCAAAAGGAAACTATTATTTTTGAAAAGAATTGTTCCAGCATGGTATCAACACTGCGCTTTATACGCTCAAGTGCATTACATTCAATGCATATCTACTCAGTCATACGATTAAATTTAATATCACAATTACAAGATTAAACTTTAAAAACACCTGTGAGAAGATAATCTTAAAGAAAAACTGCCAATGGCACACAGATTGACTTACGGGAATGAACCAACCTTTACTGGATTTTCAGAGAAAAGAAATCCAACGTAAAACTTCAGCTCTGTTTGTGTACAAGATATAAGAGCTACCAAGGCATTGTAAGCACAGCAATGGTGCTGTCTCCTCAGTTCAAGAGCAACGGTCTCACCACGCATGTCTTCAACTGTCGCTGCACGAGCCGCCCTGGAAAGCAAAGTTGAACTTCAAAACAATAACATATTTTTTTTTATTAGATCATAGCGAACGACGTAACGTGTTGAGAAGTAATATATCAAACAGGAAAGACCGTGTTTGACCACATTTCCAAACACCGAGGAGAGAGTTGAAAATACGACGCGCAGCGGAGTATTTTTGACGATCTTCGAGTGTTTTATGTATCTTCTCAATCGAAACTAAAACTAGGGAGAAAACGGAGAAATAAAATAGTAAAAATCTATGCTAATTAAGATCAAATATCCAAAAACCGTCAGTCATGATTTCCTTTGTTTAAACTTGATAAATTATTAATGTGTTTGAGAAGGAATCATGCAAGATATGTATGTTTTTTATATTTTTTTTGGAGCCTGTACAACTTAGTAAATGGTCAAATGTTTAGCTCTTTGTGTGAAATACTAAAGGAGATATTGAATCTCAAAAATTGCAAAATGTCTGGGTGGCAAAATTGCTAATTAGCCCATAATTCTTTGTAAAATTTTGATATACAATACATTGGATACAACACACTGAGCTCCAATTTCTTGGGGCAGTGCACTGTGATGCGTCTGTTCAATATTCAGAGTTGACAGTTTGGTAGCTTGTTCAGAAACTGAAGACCTCATGCTATGAAATCCCAAATTAATCACATACAGAAAATGCTGTATGTAGCCTGGTGCATGTTTGCGCATTTTAGGGAGAAATGCTATTCTGCAGCAGCATCATGTCACAACCCATACAAATCGAGACAATTTCGCCATGTCGCCAGGAGACTGCTTACAGGAGTTGAATGGTTACGAGACGCACCACCAAAGACTTAAAGGACCTGAATAGTCCTTCGTTTATTCAGATGTTTAACCATGATCAAATGCATTCATATACCCTAGTTTAGGACCACTGACTGATCAAACCATGTACGAAAAACCATTATACAAAGGCGTAACAAAAGCATCCATACTGATCCTACTATCTTGTGATTACATCATCTTAACTTAACCCATAAAAATTTCTTTTACAACAAATTATCATAACAAGAATGACACTCGTGAATTCCCTTTTACTCTGTTCCCGAAAAGAACATAATTTTTGAAACAAGGTTTATTCACCACAACAGTGTCATATTCAATGGACAATCGGGCATGGGACGCAAAACAAATTACACATACGATATTCGATGCTAAAAGCTTCTTTTCGAGGAAAATCTTGGCGAAGAAGTAAAGCAAATCCTTCGTGTAGGATTCGTGTTAGAATGTTCAAAACGGATTGTGGCTCTACTTTCCCCGATTGGACAGAATGGTACAAAGGATTTTTTTCTGTCCAATCAGGAGGCAACATTTGTACAGCCGCTTGGAACTGGCCAAGGAAAACTGCGTCCCCAAAAGCCCCTCTCTTCTACATTTCGGCGCCGATTTTTTACCTCACCAACTCGACATTCTCTAGCCCTCACTAAGGTCTGGGAGGGTGGTTTCATTAAGTGCTAAGCTCGAGACTAACTATATTTTCAGTGTTTGCTGACTGTATCATTAACTTTTTACTCCACTTACTTTGTTATTGCCATAGTCAACTCTTTTCCTGTTTTGACTTCTCCTCCTACATAAGCCTCGTTGATGCTAGATTCTGGAGTGTTCAGCTCAGACTTAGGAAATTGAGAGTACAGTATTTCCACCAGCTCAAAACAACACAACTTGGACGTCACTTGAGATACAAAGTTTGCATCTGATGGCTAAACAAACATGTTGGTGATTACCTCTAAAACGTAGTTTCTTTAGTTCAATAGTAAAAGCCCCTGACTGATTAACATCAATTTAGATGGGATTATTTGTGTTAGTCTCATTTACACATGCACAACGTTCTTATAACCAGAAGATAGTCGTGGGCTTGAGTTTTAAGACAAAAATTGTGCCATACACATGTGGTACTCGATAGCCACAATAAAACTGGTATTGTGCAATAGTAACGCAACTAAAGATTTCACTAATCTTAACGAAAACGAGTCTTTGTTTCCTTAATGACATATTCCGGGGTGGGGGTAAACAAACTTGCAAATAAACGCGTGCTAGGAAAACATTTACACTATCTTTCAGTCATTTCTTGGTTAAGTCAGTAGGCCATGGAGATATGTAGAACTTCAACTATGAATCTGAACATGACACATGTCATATAGCTTATTTTACCCTCAATTGCTTGGCCTCTATAACTGCCATTACATCCTTAATATGACCAAGGTAAAACTTTCTTCTTGCTGCAGTAGATGTGTTCAAAAGGAATGTGATGCAAACACGTTCAACTACAGCTCTACGGCGTTCTGGATGATAGTCTCGCTCATTCAAAAATATTGAGAGGCACAAGTCCATTGCTTCTTTTGCTTGATCAGGCACGTGTCGTAATCTGATTGAATTACAATAGTAGACCTTGAGTAAACGTTTAGTTAAATATCTGTTATATACCTCTTTATTCAAATTTGTCATGTTACTGCTTGACTACTGTGTATTTTTCTGTGTGGACCGGGGAACTACTTGAGTTCCGAATTTATCTTCATCAGCACTTTTGCATTTACCAATACTTGTTACATTGTATAGGGCTCCAAAAAAGTCAACTTTTTATATCCACGACTGAGTATATGCCGTACATTATAGTATTAACGTCAGCACACACTAGTGGGCGTGTTGCGGCGAATTGAAGGGGGACATGTTGCAGCGACAGTTTTCCTCGTGTGAAACGCCTGTTCTTGTGGTGAAAAAATTCTGTTGCATGATATTCAGCTGGTTTGTGAGTCTTGAAGAACGGACAAAATGAGCTTAATTTTCAATGTCGCATCATGTTCAATGCTCTCGCAAACTGTTCCCGCTACAACACAGAAATGAACTAATATCTGCTTCATGTGTACCAGCTTGCGTTCTATCCATGCAACACGCGCCCTATGCGCACACACGAAGGGGCTTGTCCCCTCTTCATGTCCCCAACACATGTCCTCTGGTGTGTGCATTGTAGTAGTACATTGTATCTAAATGAAGAGCATCTTACTGTAAATATAGGGAATCCAAAGACAGGAAGAGACTAAATTGTCTTTTATTTTGTGGTTGACTTCTTTCAGAAAAAAAAAAAAAAAAAAACGTCCAGCAAAGTTATCAGTGCAACCTTCCTCTCTTGCTACATTAGAAAATAATCCCAACCAGGAGGATAAATTGAACGGTTGAGTACATTTATGGAGAGTTTAGGCTGTTAGTCTTCAAACTTGTTTTTGTCGTCTTTTCAGACGGGACCGGTAAAATGATAAGTTAAAATTATTTTTAATTCTTCTTGTTATCATCATCACGTTACATATATCCAGCAAATATTCTTTAGTTAAACTTGCCTTTGAATGAAGGCTGCCAAGGACTTCTGAATTTGATCTTCATGTATATGCTGACTCTCACGGCAAATGATAGTTATTAACAGCTGAAGTAACATCAGACTGCTAGAACTGACAAAAGATGCAAGGAGCTACAGAAAAAATGAAGGAGAGATAGTCAACATTCAGTTATCATTGTATAGATTGTTTAAAGTAAACCTCTAAAAAAATTCTTTTGGCACACGTTTTCCCGCAGTGAATGATAAAAATTGGCGAAAGGAAACTTCTACGTTTCCGAGCCATCTTTACTCCATTTCAATTATAAATAACGGTTGAACGTATTATAAGTGTCAGTGTATACTAGAGTGTTTAAATGCATTAATCAAGCATTTGATGCGTTGCTAATTTTTTATCATTCACTGCATTTTGAAATTTTAAATTAAACTTCGGTAAGTAAGTAATAAAAATGTTCGGTGTGTAGCCAGGCATGTTAAAAAATTGGTAAAAAAGGAAAGGAATTAAATGGTTGTCACTGGCTAAAAATATGGTTATCGGACGTTTCGGCCACTACTGTTGCCTTCTTCAGCAAAAGATGGAAAATGCAAATGTTAAACGACGTCCTGCTAGAATATGTAATAGATGTGTGATAAAACTAAATGAGCACTAGTCTCTAGAGTATTCTTGATGAGTGTAAAAATTCTTAATGCCATTGTACACGTTCGGTAGCGCTATGTGTTCGTTTATAGCGTTCCTGTCTCGCACGGAATGCCAAGCTTCAAGAAT